AATTCCTTTCAAAGCTCAGGGCTCCATGATTATCTTCTACATGTCTGTTCTTTGGTTTCTCTTCTCTTTGTTGAAGAAGGACTGTGTCGCTGGTCTGCCTATTCCTCTATCTTACCAGAAGTCCCTGGTTAATGTTTTGGAATTAGATTGCCAGGCCTTTCGTCCTGGTCTTAGTCTAGAAGCGCCACCAGAACATGTCGACCATGGGTAACCCTGCTGATATTTGGAACACCAGTGGCATAGCTTCCAGCATCAACAACACACCCCAGTGCAACAGACAAACAGTGGTGGAGTCTGTCGTACACGGTTTTTATTATCTCATGAGGGAGTACTTCAAGCCTCCTCCCCCCCTTACTGTGCACTTGTTGTGTACCAGCACTCTGCATTTATTGTCTCAGGTTAACCTCACAGCAGCTCTGCCATGTGGATGTGATGGGTCCTGTCACAGGTGAGCCTGATCTGCAGAAGTGATGCCACTGGATCTGGGTCAAACGGCTAGCAAAGGAGAAGAGGGGATTTGAACCTGGGACGGACCGACTTCCTTTCTGAGCATGCCCACAACTCAGTGGAGGTTGAAATGCATTTGCTATGAGCAAAGAGCTTCAGAAACGTCTAGGAAGGAGTTCCTCCCATCCAGCAGGGATGTGGAATTCTGTCTCCCCCAGAGTTTTGCCTCCCAGTAGTGTGGTGCCTAAGGCACTTGACTGCTAACCAGAAGGCTGGCAGTTCAAACCCACCAGCCACTCCTCACAAGGAAGGTTGGGCAGTCGACTTCCGTAGTGATACTGCCTCAGAAACCCAAGGAGGGGTCGTTGTGAGTCGGGGCTGACTTAACAGCACAAGACAACAACAAGCATGTTTTCAGGGGTTCCAGGTTGTCTGCCCTGCTCTCTGAGGGAGCCCCCATCGCCTGGAGGTGTCCCTCTCTTTCTCTTGCTTTCCACAGGATCAGAAGGAGCAACCAGCTTTCTTCCCTGCCCCTTTTTTCTTTCTCCCTAAGTGCAGTAATCACATTTTATAGCATGGTTTTACTTTTGGGGTGTGGGGGCACTTCCTGTATGTTTCCCAGTCCTCCTACCACCATGGTCCCCTTCTCCCATCACGTCTCCCCGATTTAGGCACAGAAATAGCTCCAGCTCTGAGGTGCAGGTTCCAGGGTTTAAAACTGCACTCAGTGCTAATTATACTGCAGCCGGGAAGATGATTTCTGTGCAGTTGTTGATTTTGTTGTGGTTGTGACGGCTCACGTGGGAAGCAGCAGACACTGGTCCTGTATGAGCATTTCTCCAGAGACAATTAGATGGTGAGTGGCCTTCAGGTGCAGGGGGGCAGGCACTAGGCTTGCCTAGAAATGTCTGGAAATACTTGCCTGGAGCGGAGTGATTTGGCCTGGTAAAGAGAGGCTCATGTTCTAGTGAACTTTCTCCTTAGATGCCCTGATAATTAAAATAATAATAATAATGGTTATTTTATAAATCAAGAAAGTAGCACATACTTGAGGGAATAAAAGTGCAAACTAATTTTTATATATGCGTAAGCAGGACCAGGCTTTGTTTTGTTGTGCACACGTGGTGGTTAAGGTATTTGACTGCTAACCAAAAGGTCAGTGGTTCGAACCTACCAGCAGCTCCGTGGGAGAAAAATGAGACTCTGCTTCCATAAACGAAAATCCTCACAACTTGTCCTATAAGCAACATTACAATAAATGAAGAAAAGATTGAAATTGTCAAAGACTTCACATTACTTGGTTCTACAATCTATGCCAATGGAAGCAGCAGTCAGGACATCAGACAATGTATAGCACTGGGCAAATTGGCTGCAAAGGACCTCTTTCAAGTGCTGAGGAGCAAAGATATCTCCTTGAGGACTAAGGTGTGCCTGACACAAGCCATGGTATTTTCAGTCGCCTCGTATGCATGTGAGAGCTGGACAATGAATAAGGAAGACCGAAGAAGAGTTGATGCTTTAGAGCTGTGGTGCTGGCGAAGAATGCTGTCGACTGCTAAAAGAACTAACAGGTCTGTCCTGGAGGAAGTGCAGCCAGAATGCTCCTTGGAGGTGAGAATGGCCAGACTTTGCCTCACCTATTTTGGTCGTGTTGTTAGAAGGGACCATTCCCTGGAGAAGGATGTCATGCTTGGTAAGGTGGAGGGTCGATGAAAGAGGGGAAGGCCCTCAACAAGGTGGATTGACACGGTGGCAGTGGGGATGGGCTCAAGTATAGCAGGGATTGCAGAGCTGGCTCAGGACTGGGCAGTGTTTTGTTCTACTACGCATGGGGTCGCTATGAGTTGGAGACAACTAACACCAACAACAACTGCTTCCATAAGGATTTACAGCCTTGGAAATCCTATGGGGGCCGTTCTACTCTGTCCCAAAGAGTCATTGTGAGTCTGACTGGACTGGATGGCAGTGTGTTTGGTTTTTTGGTTTACATAGGGTTGCTATGAGTCAGACCCAACCTGATAGCACCTAACAACAACGACAATCGGGTGCAAACTGGCAGATCTTCTTGTTCAAGTTTCACTTGGCCTGTGAAGTGTTAACAATTTTTTTTTTTTTTTTAATTTGTGCCACTATTTAAAATTTGAAATGTTTCTCATAAAGTTAGACCGTTGGGCTTCCCTGGAAGAATGGGAAGATCTCGCAGCTCTAGACCTGTGCTTCCTGATGACAGGAGTGGCGGCCGCTCTCCAACCACAGGCACTTTCCAGATCACCACAGCCCCGCTGTCCTGTGTCACTCATTTCTGTGGCTGCCTGGTCCTGACAGCTCTTGAATGCTGGACCCTAAAGACAGCACTCATGTCTCCTTTGTCATACCCCCTCCCCAGTTCCTGGTCCCCTAGGCTTGGTGGTGGCGGTGCTGTCAAGTCAATCCTGTCTCATAGTGACCCCACGTAACAGCATAGAACTGCCCTGTAGGGTTTCCTGGACTGTGATCTTTGTGGACACAAATCACCAGGTCTTTGTCCCGCAGAGTCACTGGGTGGGTTCAAACCAGTGACCTTTCAGTTAGTAGCTGAGCAGCACCAGGGCCCCTTGGGCTTAGTAAGCACCATTAATAGGGTCATCAGGTAACTACAGGGTGGCCGCTTAAATCTGAATATCAAGACAGACAACAGATACTTTTTTTAGCACAGGTGTGTTGTTTGTTGTGGTTGAGTGGACGGTGACCCACGGCAACCTTATGTGTAACAGAAGGCAGCATTGCTCGGTCCCGCCCCATCTTTATGAACCTTGGGTCCATTGTTGCAGCTGTTGAGTTGTGCCTTCCCACCGTGCTGGACAGTGCTCTGTTGTGATTCGTGGGCTTTCCTTGGCTGATTTTTGGAAGTAATCACCAGACCTTTCTTCCCAGTCTGTCTCAGTCTGGAAGCTCCACTGGAACCAGTCCACCAAGGGGGACCCTGCTGGTTGGTGTTCGACATACTGGTGGCGTAGCTTCCAGCAACACACAAGCCACCACAGTTCAATAAAATGCCAGACAGGGGTTGGAGTGTAAATATGTCCCCTAAGTATTAACGGTTTGGTACATATTCCGGCTTTTCTCTGTTGAACTGTATACGTTTTGTTGTTGTTATGAAGATAGGCTTATATTCCGTATAGTCTGTGTTTGATTTTTCTCCCCGTGATTTCTCAGGAGGCATTTCACAGTATTTATAAGAGCAGGCTTTGAGGCTGTGGACTCCAAGCTACATTAGAATCCTGGCTCTGCCAGCTGTGTGACCTTGAGCAAATTACCTCCCCTCTCTGTCCTCACTTTCCTCATCTGTGATGGGGCCCAGAGCGGGTAGCTTTCTTATTTCCTGTAGCTACTTAAAAACCTGTCTGATCGTTTCTGAAAGTTGTATAGGCTGATGTCCCTCAGTGGCTTTACCCAGTCCTCTGTTGGTGGATGTCAAGACTGTCGTCAGTTTATCACCATTTCAAAATGGGAGGCAGAGGTTTTGAAAAGGGGAAGGAGGTCTAGAAGGAACTGGGCACAAAATCCTAAGACTTGGTGATTTAAAAAAAAAAAAAATGACGGGGCGTTTGTCTCCCTGGAAACCACTTGCTAATCCCCGGGATACTCTCTTTTCAGGCAAAGGAGGTGGAGGAGACCATCGAGGGGATGCTTCTTAGACTGGAAGAGTTTTGCTGCCTGACTGACATGGTGAGTGTCTGCTGGGAGGCATGGATTTAGGCCCAGGCTGGACTTCAGGCCCTCCCCAGAGTTTTCAGGGGAAGCCATTTTGGTAGTGATTAAGCAACCAGAAGGAATGGGACAGCAGCCAGCGGTGAGAGGAAAAACCACCCTCCTCTCTCTCTCTCTCTCACACACACACACACACACACACTCACGCACTCTCTCTCTCTCTCTCTCTCTCTCAACCCCAAGTGTTTCCTGAGGCGGCCATCTTGATAACATCCTTCCCTTGAGATGGTTTTTATTCCACAGAGGAGCCGGGAGTGAGCCACAAGGTGGCACTCTCGGGCACCAATGCAGGGAGCCTTTCAGTGGGGATGCTAAGACTATATTTAACTTTCCTCTGGCTCTGCGCAGTTTGCAGTGCAAACATGGAGAAAATGGCGCCAGGCCTGTCAGGCCTAGGAGGAGCCTGTTGCCCAGCCTGTAGCCTGTGGCAGGGTTGGGCATCGAGTCCCTTCCTGAATCCTGTTGCTCCCTCAACCTTCGCCCCCTACCCTGCTTTCTTGGGTAAAATTCTCTTGGCGAGGTAGGGAAGATGATGGATGATAATGGCTTAGGCCTGGAAGACAGGGTTCTTTAAATTCTCCAGAAATCTCCTCTAGATTCATACTTTTTCAAGATTGTGGCCAGTTGGATGTAGGTCCCCTTGGGGCAAAGGTGGAATTTTATGGAAGTCCCCAAGCTTATTAAAGGCCAACCAGCAGCTCCTTCCTAGAGGCCCAATGGGTGGAGCTCTGTCGTGTGACCAGGTTCTGCCTCTCCCTGGAGGAAGGAAGCTGCCCATCTGGGCTCAATGGCTCAGTGTGTGCCTTTGTGAAGCCCAGTGTCTGGAACCTGAGAGGCATATGTGAGAGCCAAAGGGAGCAGCAACAACAGTAACTCCAGGTGTTTACTGAGCATCTAGTTTGTGCCAAGCACAGTACAAAATGTGCTTCATGCCTCATCTGATTTTCCATGAAGTATCCCAACATGGTGGCTACCATGTTATCCCCATTTATTCAGCAGACATTTGAGTGTCATCTGTGTGCCAGGCCCTGTGGTAGGCTCTGGGGACACAGCAATGAACAACCTAGTATTGTTCCCAAGAGGCCCTATGAAGTTCTTCTCTCCTGAAAGAGAACTTTTGAGTTCAGATGTGGGCCCAGATGGGAGCTGAGTAACAAGATGGGCTTTTATGGGCTGGCTAGGCTTTTCCTCATCACTAAACGTTGGGCCCCTTCTCATGACTAGATCCCATGGTGAGCTGGAGGGTGCAGACGGTTAGACCCATCTCTGTCCTCACTGGACCCCCAGTCAATTGGAGGAGACCAATTTGTATACAAGCCATTGTCACCCAGTGCTGTCATGAGGGAGCACTCAAAGTACAAAGGATACCCTGAACAGAGGCATTAAATTCTGCCTGGGAAATCTGGAAGGCTTTGCAGGGCAGGGGATGATTAATTTGGGGCTCAGAGGAACAGATAGAATTCCACAGATGAGGAGGGTGGGCATCCTAGCAGAGGGACCTGTTCTGGTTACCTAGTGCCGCTCTGACAAGAATAAACCACCAATGGGATGGCTTGAAGAAACAGGAGTTTGTTCTCTTACAGTTTGGAGGCTTTAAGTCTGAGTTCAAAGTACCAGGCTCTAGGGGCTGGGTGAAAGCCCCTCAACCTTGAGGTTCAGCTCTGCCTCCTGCTCCCAGCCCACTGAAGCTGGAGGCTTTTCTTCACTCAGACAGCTGCTGCCTGCTGAGACTTACAAACCCAAGGCTGACAAGTAAAAAGGCACAGTCCCAATGTTACCAAACCACACAGCAGGCCATTCATTCAAATCCATTGAAAGTCCCAAAGTTGACAGAGCGTGGCAGGCTGCTGAACAATGACACGGCTCCATGCAGGGTTCAAGGATGCCATAAGCTAGAGACTGTTCCCCAAGGCTTTTCCTTATATACAGGAAGAAGACCACATCCCTAAGGCAGCTACTCAGCTGCTCCCAGTAGATTCCACCATGGAGTTGATTACCAGTCTCATCATGGGGAATACTATATCCAGCTGCCCAGCTATTCAACCAGGCCCAGCCAAGTTGACACACGAACTTAAGGACCACAGACCCTGTGGGTGTGGTGTGTCTGGGCTCACATGGAGAATGCTGGAGCGTGAGACAAGGAGAGGAGGTTTGGAAGATCACGTGGGCTGGTGACCCCAGGGACATCTTTGTTCTCGAGTCCCAGACACATTTCCAGAAGGGCATCCTGTGAAAGAAGACCCGCCAATCTAACCTGAGAGGACAGCTTGGAGTAGGCGTCAGCTTGGATAGACGGAGACAGGCCCGTGCTGTGCATCCCTGAAAACTTCGAGGCTGCTCATGGAGGGAGGTCTGTGCTTGTGTTGCAGGCAGTATCGGGAAGCGTCCCTCTCACCTGGAAGCCTGGAGACGTGGTATGTGAAGATTAATACTCAGGTCATACACAGGTGACCCAAGGGCTCAAACCTACCTGCAGATATGCTTGATGTTTCTGGAAAAATGGGAATCGGCTGCTAATTTCCAGCTCCTCTCGGAAAAGCGAGGCTCCGCCCCTGTACCCCCCCCACGCACCTGTGGGCGCGCATTCCCACCTGGCATCAGCTGGACCTGCCTCTGCTCTCCAGATTGTCATTGTCCCCACCTATGAAAGTGGGAAAATAAGGCCAGAAATGGAAGAGAACACGCTTCCTTGTGGCAGTGCCCAGGCCTGTTGTGTGTTTAATGTGCAAACACAGTGTGTCTCCATTGCTGAAAGGCGCCAGTCTGCTCTGCTAACGTATAGTGCTTTGTGGCCCCTGTGGGTGTCCTGAGTTTGCAGCCCCTGCTACGTCGCTGTCTTAGTTCTCTAGTGCTGAGGTACCACAGATGGGGGGCTGTGATGAACACACATTTATGTTCTCACAGTTTAGGAGACAAGGAGTCCAAATCCAGGGTGCCAGCCCTGCGGGAAGGCTTTCTCTGGGTCAGCTCTGGAGCACAGTCCTTCTGTCTCTTCGGCTTCTGTTTGTCGTTCCTCGTAGATCTCCTGCGGCGCGGTGTCTCTCTTCCCTCATCTCTGCTTGCTGGCTTCCTGCTCAGTCAGCCTGCTCCTTTGCTGTCTTAAAAGAGATTGACTCTCAAGACACACCCTACTGTAATCCGGCCTCATTTATGTAACAAAGAAAACCCACTTCCAAACGGAAGTTAAACTGCAGGTATAGAGGTTAGGCATTCAGGGGGCACTATTCAATCGTAATGGATGCTATGTGCAGATGCAGTTTATGTTCTGGGAAATCCCTCTGCCCAGCAGTTGATGCTTGCCTTCCCTAGGATGTCTGCACCATGTGTTACAGGCTCCATGACTCAGAGAGGGGTGTCCTGTGACCCGAGGGAACAAAGACAAGACTTGGGACCCCTTTTCCCTTTCCGGCTCCTTTAAAACTCAAGCTTGGGATGCGTGGAGGCCTCCAGGGTGATGTCACATCATGGACCACTGTCCGCAGGGTCCTGCCTCAGCCTTCAGAAGCACTGCTTGGCCACGTCAGAGTCCTGAGAGAAAGGAGCGAGGTGCGTGTTGTGCAGTTCAGGAAGAAGCTGCTTCATTTCAATAAAATCCAGTGATTAGACATGAAGTCCAGCTTCCTGGATGTTAATTCCTCTGCAGCTGGTCCTTGGTCGTTGTCTGGGACCTGTTTTGACTTTGTTGTTGCTGTGACTTGCCATTGACTCAATCCCAACTCGCGGTGCCCTGTATGTGTAGAGTAGAGCTGCTCTACAGCGTTTTCAGGGTGGGACCTTTCAGAAGCACACCACCAGGGCTTTCCTCCAAGGCTCTTCCCGGTGGATTTGAACAGCCAGCCTTTTGGCTAGTAACCGAGCACTTCACCATTTGCTCTCAGTTAAGTTCCAGCTCTGATCTTTCCCACTATGGGGTCTTGGGCACATCACATCACCTCTTTGAACCTTTATTTTCTTTGTAAAATGGAGCTAATGGTTCTGAATGTCTGTTGCTACTTCAAAGCAAAGATGTCCCTTTGAAGACTAAGGTACCTCTGACCCAAGCCAGGTATTTTCAGTCAACTCAAATGCATGTGAAAGCTGGACAGTGAATAAAGAAGACTGAAGGAGAATTGATGCCTTTGAATTATGGTGTTGCAAAGAATATTGAAGGTACCATGGACTGCCAGCAGAACCAATCCGTCTTGGAGGATGTGCAGTCAGAAAGCTTCTTAGAAATGAGAATGGCCAGACTTCATCTCTCGTACTTGGGGCGTGTTATCAGAAGGGACCAGTCCCTGAAGAAGGACGTCATGCTTGGTAAAGTGGATGGTCAGCGAAAAAGAGGAAGACCTCAGTGAGATGGATGGACACAATGGCTGCAATGATGGGTTCAAACATAACAATTGTGAGGATGGCACGGGACTGGGCAGGGTTTTGTTCGGTTGTGCATAGGTCACTGTGAGTAGGATCCAATTGGACGGAACCTAACAGCAACAACAACATCACACTGCCTCAAAGTACAGGGTAAATCAGCAACCAGTTTATTGTGCGGGTCAGGACAGCACAGATGGGCAGCTCATCTGTGCTCTGCTCTGCCTGGGGTCTGTGCTGGGATGACTGGAATGGCTGGGAGTGCTCCTCTGAGGCCATGTGTCTGAGCTGTGCGGCACCCACTGGGGTGGAAATGCCGCAGTCAGCTCCTTTCCTGCCTTGTCTGGTGCCTGGACTGGGGTGGCTGCTGTAGTTGGGGACTGGTTGGTATAACTCCCTTTCCACGCAGCTTTTTCACCTCTCTAGCTTGGGTTTCTCATAGCATGGCAGTCTGGCCTGAAGTAGAAGCTGCCAAGTCTCTAGTGGCCTGGGTATGGAAATTGACAGTGTCCCTTCTGGTTTATTTGTTGGTCAGATTAGTCACGTCACACTCCCTGATTCTAAAGGAGAGCATATAAACCTCACCCCTTCATGGGGGAACTTAAAAG